ACTTGAAGTCCCGTCTTCGCTGCCTCCTCTGCCAACTTGTTAGTTTTCGCCTGTAGATCTTCGAGTTTGTGTGATATTAGACACAAGTCATCGGCGAAATCCAAATCTTCTAGGTTCTTTCCTGCGGTCGATCCTCACTGTTTGTTGCATGATCCAGTCCATCACAATCAGGAATATCATGGGTGATAGTATACAGCCTTGTCTTACTCCTGTTTTCGCTTCAAAGGCGTCACTGAGCTTCCCATTGCGAATTACTTGGCATGTGGCGTCTTCATATAGTTGTTGAATGAGGTTGATAAAGACTTGTGGCATTCCGTAGTGTCGAAGCAACTGCCAAATTACTTGTCGGTCGACGCTGTCAAAAGCCTTTTCAAAGTCGATGAAGTTGAGGTAGAGGGTTGACTGCCATTCTATACTCTGTTCTATGATGATGCATAGCGTAGCGTTGCAATTTGGCCCGCACATGATTTGTTCTTTGTGAAGCCAACCAGCCTGCTCCGGTTGTAATTTTGAATCCAGTGCATTGTTTAGTCTCTCGAGGATGATGCGGCTTAATATTTTGCTTGGGGTGGACAGAAGTGTGATTCCGCGCCAGTTCTTGCAAAGGCTTACGTCTCCCTTCCTTGGGAGTTTGACAAGGTGGCCCTTCTTCCAATCAACCGACAGGTACCTTCCCTTCATTCCAGACCTTTTGCAATAGTGGTGTGAATGCGTTCACTGTTGTCCCAGATTCTGTTTTCAGTGCTTATGGCGGAATTCCATCTGGTCCTGCTGCTTTTCCGAATTTCAGCAGTTTTATGGCATTCAGGACTTCGACTTTTGTCGGAGTGTTTGTGTTCACTGGTAGTTCAGTGGCTGGGCTGCTGGTGGTATTTCTGGACAAGTTGCAGGTGGTGATGTGGTCGATTCAAGAGTTTTCCGAAGTGGTCAGTTTATCGTTTTCTTTGTTTCTCCTCTTTGGTAACTAGCTTTCCTTCACTATCTTTCATTGGTTTCGTCTGAGTTGATCTCTTCCCGGATAGTGACCTGGTTATTTGATATAAAGTTGTCAGGTCTCTCCTACCTGCAGTCTGTTCTGCTTCACCTGCCAGTGTGTCGTGGAAATGTCTTTTGTCTTTGTGCACACTCTTCTTCACTTCTTTGTCCAGTGTTTTATGCATTGTACCCAGTTCCTTTTTTCGTTGTTCATCTTTGCACTGGTTTATCTTCTGCTTCACCATCCTCCCCTCTTCTATCAGCTTCCATGTGTCCGTCGAGATCCATTCTTTATCTTCTTTCTTCTTCCTTCCTAATACGGCTATACAGGTTCCCTTCCACATAGCTTTCAAACAGTTCCAGTGCTCATCCACACAGGTTTCTTCAGGAATGTTCCTCGATATCTCCCATTTTGTCTTGATGACTGACGTGAAGATTTTCTTTGTAGTTTCGTCCTTCAGTTTCTGTTCTGTGTGTTGAACTTGAACTGTGGTCTATCACCAACTTCTTTGAAGTCTTTCAACTTGATTCGGAAGGTTGCTTGCACTAGGTAGTGGTCTGAGCCTACATCTGCTCCTCTTCTTGACCATGTGTCGAGTAGGCTGCGTCTCCAATTTCTTCACATCGAGATAATGTGGATCTGATTTTTAGTGTGTCTGGTGTTTGGTTAAATTCATGTTGCTCGCTTTGTGAATATCCTTGTGCTTGAATACAGTGACTCCAATCACTTTATTGTAGAATGCACAGAATTCTGGGTGCGCACTGCTGAGGAGTCCCATACTAGGACGAAACAGCTGTCCAGTGCTCCCAGGTTTCCTTTGTTCCTCCAGCTGATGTCAGTCTCCGATGAATAACAACTTGAAATATTTCCAAATCTCCACAATTCCCTCAAAATTTAACTGAACTAGTGCTCGTTGGTGACTAGCTTCGAGAAGTATTCCCGAAGTTCCAATGACAAGTCGTGACCGGTGGAGTCATGCCTGATGGCCGTGAGGACAAATACTCAACGATGACATTGGATGGCGGTTTGCGCTATATCGTGAGCTAACAGAAGTTGGAAATATGGAGCATTGTATTTTGACCAAGTGGCTCAATGGTAACGCGCTGGTCGCGGAACCTGAAGGTCGCGGGTTCGATCCCTGCTGGCGGGGTCGTGGATGCGCACTGCTGAGTCGTCCCATACTAGGACGAAACAGCTGTCCAGTGCTCCCAGGTTTCCTTTGTTCCTCCAACTGATGTCAGTCTTCGATGAATAAAAACTTGAAATTCTGGAAACAGTTCTCCATTCTCATCCATGCGCTTCGCGGCCCATGGTGAGTTCTCTTCATGTGTTGTCCACTCTCAGTTTGGCATTCATGTCACACCACCCATTAGAATTTTGATGCCACCAACTGGGGTGGGGTCTTGTTCATTACCGATTGCAGTTGTCTGTAGAATTCCTCCTTCTTCTCTTCGTCTGCATTATTTGTAGATGCGTAGCGTAGCGTTGTGTGATTGTAACTTTCCCTCCTTTTGAGTTGAATCTTGCTATCATGATCTTGCAGGAGGAGATTGATTCCCGCCACACGAGGGCCTTCGATGCTGTTGGAGACATCATGATAGGCACTCCAAAACTCAGTGTGCTCGTGTTTGTCGTCTGGGTGACAGTATCGGCGTAGATTATTGACTCTCTCGTTGACAGCTTGGAGAGTCCACTTCCATTTCATCTGCTTTCGCAAATTCCTAACACTTAAATGAGATACCTTCTCATCTCTTTCGCAATCTGGGCAGCCTTGCTAGGTTCAAACATGGTGCGGACATTCCATGTCTCCACGTTGACTTTTGCTTTCATTGAGAGAAGAGAAGACATATCGGCCAATTCGCTTCCCGAAGGCTTTCACCAACCGGCGTCCTTTCGCTTCTCCTATTCCAGGGAGGAATAAGTCTATTTGTGCTTGTGCTTTGGAGTTTTTTTAGTGGTTGGATTGGTTATACGGGGCAGGGTTTCTAGCCCTATACCCAAACTTCCCTCTTTACCCGGGCATAGGACCGGCTAGTAACTAGTGAACTAGTTAACCAGGCATCTTTAAATTGATTGACTGATTTCACAGGGAGAAAACGCTGGCCGGTAACCATGCTAGCAAATATCTTGCACTTTCATTATTATATGAATCATAATTATAAAAGTGATAACCTTTCTCTTCTGCTGTGCTTTGAAACCTGTAAGACATCTATTTTGATAGTCCGATAAAATTATTTTGATTAGTAAAATTTCCTTCTCTGCGAGACAGATATTTCAACTGTACTGCTACACTTCAGCAGCTCACAATCTTTCCTACATCTGTTAACATTTTTCATCCTAAAACTTAAAGATTATAATCCTGTGGTCCTTTTACAGATGTCCAATCAAGAGTAGATGAGATGAAACTGTAATCAACTAACCAGGATTACAACATTTAGGTAGGTATATATCCCATTTTTCTGTTCAACAGTCAATGATGAAAATTAAAATGTGTTTTTGAAACTGCTTCTTATGACAACGATGATGTAGTAATAAACTATACATTTGAAACAGTTTGTCCTGGGTTCGAGCCCTAGCGGGAGGTTAATAGATATAGCTGACGAGGATTCCACTTGTAGCCACTACCTGCCACTAATGTAGTCTACGTGGGCTAACGACCAAGAAGATACTAAACACTTAAAGCGAAGGTAGCATAGTGTCTGAAACTTCCAGCGGAGGCGATTAGTTGTCAACTGATGATAATGTCTAAATGGCAGAGATATTCAAATACTTTGAGACAACAGAGTGGACAAGTTATGATGGTGTTTCGAAATGGCTGGCTAGTCAAATCCACCAAATGTCAAAACCTTATTTACAAATAAGTAAGATGGTAATATTGTCTTTACAATAGTTATCTACTTATAATCATGGCTTGGGTTACCATTCTGACGCGTTTTTAAAGTCATTTATATCAAATTTCAACTAACAAGTTGTTTCACAGAGTTTATTTTGCTTAAGACTTATCGTACTAAGAGGTTCGTGCATGAAAATGGAAAAGGCAAAACTCTTCCTACAGACTGACGATGACTTTCAACATACATGAAATGCGCATTAACTGACATCGGCATGATTCAGAACCAACTGTAGTGTACAACTATGTGGTGGTATTACGCTGTCAAGTTTTCCTAACTCGTCCAATACATTTTTATCACTTCAGAAAACTGTACCACAGCAAAAGGAGAGTGGTTCAAATAATTTCTATCGTCAACACATCCAGCTGAATTTCAACATTTTAATGTATACTGTTGAACCTGCTTTTAATACTAAACTTTTATGGAATTTCCAGTTAGAAGTTGGTTTTCAAGAATGTTTGTTTCAAAAGAAAATAGAACCTTCATTGAACTGCAAAGTTTCCACTTTGTTAGTAATCGAAGTTAAATTATTGTATGGTAGGTTAGTATAAATAAATTTGCAGCGAACTCACAGCCAGCTGCGCTTATATGACACAAATCACAGTTTACTGTCAAAATAAGTTAGTTTGCAATAGCTTTTGAATTTAATCTTCACTGGCCTCTATAAATACTGGAACAAATTTTGTTACATGAAGGTTGGTAGTTATTTCCTGTTGCTAGGGCTTAGTAAATGAAATATTGAGTGATTTAACTTAGCCACCATTGGCACTCACATATCACCTGATGATCCATACTTGCTTCACAAAGGCTCAAAAGGTTGAACTCCAGTAGTTAGGATAAGATTTTAACCAGCCCTCATTCAATGAACCACGTAAGCATATGTTATCATGTTGTACGCAGCACGTTTTCAAATTCGAGCTTACTGACAACTTGAAACAACTTTGAAGACAGTTACAGGTCGAGGTTCTGACAGTTACGTAATGGTTAAAAGTAAGCGAAAACATTCACAAAATTTAATTGCAATAAAAACAAATCGATTCATACAAACCAGAATTTCAAGAGTTAAAAAATACTTATATATATTTAAAAATATACTCGAATAAAAACTGTATAAGCACAAAATATAAAATTACCTTTAACTTTTGGTTTCAATTGTACTGAACGAGTTAGCGTGCATGCATAACTGGTACCATCATTATTTCTGGTAACGTCACAATAAATTCGATGGATACAGCGTGACAATCAATGAATGGACTGTAAAATCCACTTGAACCTAAGCCCCAAGCTTCATTCCATTTTGTCGTGGGCTCATCAAACGGACTAGAGTTAATCAATTCACCCAAAGAAACTGCACGTTGTACAGGCCTACTGTCCAGCATTCTGTTGTACAGTGAAGAAGTATATGCGCATGTGCATGTGGCACTTTTTTCAGAAATATTCAAATGTAAATCAGTTGTATAATTACTACCCTCATTTAATAATTGAATACTATCAGCTGATTGATTTCGTTCTCACTGTTATTGTTGTAGTGATTATTATTTAAGGGACAATTTTGAGTAGATGGTTCAGTGATATATGAATTTGGTGGAGGTTGTCTAATCCGTCTGTGTGGATTGTACGTTGGAGTAGGAAGGAATACATCACCTGAGAAAGGAAACGTAGGTCGATTATCAGAGTCAGAATGAACCAAACTTCATTATGTCATTCTATATAAACTCAGTCACATCAGTTAAACAAATTCATTATATATTACTTGATTAACAGGAACCTAGGTTTTCAGTTTATTGGTATTCAGCGATAAGGCATATCTACAATCTCATGATCTGATATCTTTGTAAACATTCTAACCTACGTCAGGTAACGCTGAAGTCGGAAACTCTACTTGTAAGATATCAAAGCTATGGTGCACCTCCCGCGGGGCAGTGCATCGCCATACCTCTCAGTATATGTTCGTAATACAAAATGAGTCGATAAGATGGGATGAGCACTAAAGAATTAACAGATACATTGACAAGTTTGTATAAACTGTCAAACATGCAAACATAATCACTATCTTGAGTCGATCGATAAATATGGTCCAGTAATACAAAATCATCCTTAAGGGTCGAAGAAACTCAATATTTCAGGTTAAAATGTTTTAGTTGTAACCCTTTCAGTGAAAACCGTTTCTCCCAGTGAACCGCAAATATATTTCCTGGAAACCAATGAAGGCAATCATCCCAAGTGGTTGCTGGTTTTCCTTGCTCCTAAAACTACAGGTTCAACCAGTAATGAATTTGAATGCTGCATGAGACTCTGACAGCAAATATATATCGAGAAATTCTGATCCATTAGCTCAAAAAATGGCGTAACTATTCCAGGGAATAACTTCATTTTCAATAAGCCCTTAATATCACACGTACTTACAGTTTCGAAGGTTTGAAACAGTTGACTTTGTAACTTAGCAATGAGTTCAAACCTGAACGGCTGAGTAAGAATGTCTTCAGCTGGAAAGGTGAGATATATGCATAGAAATAGCTGTAGCAGTAACGTCATTCCCTAGGTTTCACGAATAATTAGCTAGCTGATGAGTATTGTATTAATATTATTATTATTATTATTATTATTCGTCCATCGGGTTCCCAATGGGACATAAGGCTTCAGTAGCACGTCTTCATTTCACTCTCTTCTCTGCAAACTTTTTAACCTGGCTCCACGACTGCCCACAAGCTCTCATTTATTCCTCACATGATCTCCTCCATGTCACCCTCGGACGCCCAACTCGTCGCTTAACATTTGGGTTCCACTCGAGGGCCTGGCCTGACGCGTGATGTCCTCAGTCGGCCTTCTCAGTGTATGCCAATCCAATCCATCTCCACTTCCTTCTGCATATTTGTTCAGCAATAGGTTCTTGGTTGGTTCGTTGCCAGTCAGAGGCCAGAGGTCCTTGTTGCTTATTCTTTCTGGCCATCTGATCTTCAGTAACGAGCCAGCGTAAGCAGTTGTTGATGAATGTCTGTAGTTTGTTGGAAGTGCTTTTCGTAACGCGCCAAGTCTCTGGGCCATACAGAAGCACCGACTTGACTGACGTTGGTATTGAAAATCCGAATCTTGTTCCATATGTTGAGTGCAGAAGATCTCCACACTAGTTCCAGGTTAATGAAAGCCTCTATTGCTTCTCCAATCCTGCCTTCGACGTCCTCGTCTATGCTGCTCGTAGTTGAGACAGTGCTGCCTAGATAGGTGAAGGAGGCTACTTCCTTTAAATCTCTCCCATTGATGGTGATTGGAGTTTGTTGTTGTTGGTTGGGTATCTTCATCACCTCTGTCTTCTCTATATTCACTTGAAGTCCCGTCTTCGCTGCCTCCTCTGCCAACTTGTTAGTTTTCGCCTGTAGATCTTCGAGTTTGTGTGATATTAGACACAAGTCATCGGCGAAATCCAAATCTTCTAGGTTCTTTCCTGCGGTCGATCCTCACTGTTTGTTGCATGATCCAGTCCACCACAATCAGGAATATCATGGGTGATAGTATACAGCCTTGTCTTACTCCTGTTTTCGCTTCAAAGGCGTCACTGAGCTTCCCATTGCGAATTACTTGGCATGTGGCGTCTTCATATAGTTGTTGAATGAGGTTGATAAAGACTTGTGGCATTCCGTAGTGTCGAAGCAACTGCCAAATTACTTGTCGGTCGACGCTGTCAAAAGCCTTTTCAAAGTCGATGAAGTTGAGGTAGAGGGTTGACTGCCATTCTATACTCTGTTCTATGATGATGCATAGCGTAGCGTTGCAATTTGGCCCGCACATGATTTGTTCTTTGTGAAGCCAACCAGCCTGCTCCGGTTGTAATTTTGAATCCAGTGCATTGTTTAGTCTCTCGAGGATGATGCGGCTTAATATTTTGCTTGGGGTGGACAGAAGTGTGATTCCGCGCCAGTTCTTGCAAAGGCTTACGTCTCCCTTCCTTGGGAGTTTGACAAGGTGGCCCTTCTTCCAATCAACCGACAGGTACCTTCCCTTCATTCCAGACCTTTTGCAATAGTGGTGTGAATGCGTTCACTGTTGTCCCAGATTCTGTTTTCAGTGCTTATGGCGGAATTCCATCTGGTCCTGCTGCTTTTCCGAATTTCAGCAGTTTTATGGCATTCAGGACTTCGACTTTTGTCGGAGTGTTTGTGTTCACTGGTAGTTCAGTGGCTGGGCTGCTGGTGGTATTTCTGGACAAGTTGCAGGTGGTGATGTGGTCGATTCAAGAGTTTTCCGAAGTGGTCAGTTTATCGTTTTCTTTGTTTCTCCTCTTTGGTAACTAGCTTTCCTTCACTATCTTTCATTGGTTTCGTCTGAGTTGATCTCTTCCCGGATAGTGACCTGGTTATTTGATATAAAGTTGTCAGGTCTCTCCTACCTGCAGTCTGTTCTGCTTCACCTGCCAGTGTGTCGTGGAAATGTCTTTTGTCTTTGTGCACACTCTTCTTCACTTCTTTGTCCAGTGTTTTATGCATTGTACCCAGTTCCTTTTTTCGTTGTTCATCTTTGCACTGGTTTATCTTCTGCTTCACCATCCTCCCCTCTTCTATCAGCTTCCATGTGTCCGTCGAGATCCATTCTTTATCTTCTTTCTTCTTCCTTCCTAATACGGCTATACAGGTTCCCTTCCACATAGCTTTCAAACAGTTCCAGTGCTCATCCACACAGGTTTCTTCAGGAATGTTCCTCGACATCTCCCATTTTGTCTTGATGACTGACGTGAAGATTTTCTTTGTAGTTTCGTCCTTCAGTTTCTGTTCTGTGTGTTGAACTTGAACTGTGGTCTATCACCACTTCTTTGAAGTCTTTCAACTTGATTCGGAAGGTTGCTTGCACTAGGTAGTGGTCTGAGCCTACATCTGCTCCTCTTCTTGACCATGTGTCGAGTAGGCTGCGTCTCCACTTTCTTCACACAGATAATGTCGGGATGTATTCGGTGTTGAGTGGAACTTGCTGATTATTGAAATATCTGAATTGCTGAAATTATGTGTAGAAGAATGTCTATGCCTACGCGAGAATAATAGAACTGAGGAGAAAGTTCATTAGATTATCGACTCGTTTGAATCCATCAAATTAAAAGCAAGACAGGAGAATAGCATACTCGTCAAGTAGTTACAGCGAAGATTTGTTCATAACAGTTTCAACTTATACGAGGGTTAACGAGGGCTAACGATTTTACTTATCCACCTTAAGTAAACTGATGGTGTGTGATTCGACACACGATCTGTCAACTGTAACCAGTAGATAAAACTGCATAGAAGGAAATCAATATTTGAAATCTCTACACATTCACTGAAAGTTTATTGTCTGATTATTCGCGTTGCATGTAATTTTTTCCGTGGATTCATTTCACTTAAGCCAATAGTAAAGTATTACGTTTTGTTTACAAACTTTTTTACAACACCCTCCTATCTTCGGTTATCTTCTTCACAACGTTTAATTCAAGTTTCCTCATAGAATGGACCTCTGTTCAACTGCCGATATACTACCTACGAAGGTGACAGATTTGTTCAGGTAAGCAACATGTGGTCATCTATTCATAAAATATTCATATCATACTACTGAACTTTCAGTTCAGCTGTATTCCTACATATATGAGCAGCCTTGTAGCATGCAGGTTGCACGGATAACCTCAAAGGTCAGAATAAATTAATTGAAACAGAAAAGCAGTAACGCAAACGAATAAAGTTCAACTGACTCACTCGACTCTTTTCTTCCTCTAAATAATCTAATTAATTCGGCTAACTCGGTGTTCCCGTTATTTTGTGCTACTTGTATGGGTGTCATATTTTCAGTATTGACTAGTGTTGGGTCAGCTCCCCAAGATAAAAGACGCAGTACAGCTGCTCGTTGATTGTAATTTGCTGCAACATGCAATGGTGTGTCTCCATCGATTGATTGTGGACGTATACAGAGATTTAAACTGTTTACAACTTCTTTGGGACGTTTACAGCGTGCATTTACATCAGCTCCATACATGAGTAGTAGATTTATCTGTTCCACACGGTTTAAGCGTGTTGCCTAGGTTATAAATAAAAATAAAATAATTTAGAGTATCAAACAAAATAGTATGGTCTAAAACCAGAATAACTGTTTATTCTACAAGGCATAGAATGAATTCAAACTCCTCTCCTTTATAGATCAATATCGGTTAGGAAGTGATCAAAAGTCGGAAAGTCCTAAACAGGTGAAAAAAAGTTAAACCCCATGACATCAAAGTGTCGTGGTCTCTTCTCTTGGGTTCATGGGGTGTGTACTTTTATTGGGTATTAGGCCAAGAACAAACGGTTACTCAGCATCTGTCTGCTTGTAGTGCTTCTGTGAACGACGCCAACTTTTGAACCGAAAGACCAATATCAAAACTTGCCTGAGTTCAGAGGTCTTTTCTCTAACTAACTGATGGACGGTTTTCACTTTAACACCTGAAAAGTGACTTACTGTTTTTTGAATTTATTTCGTTGGTTGCAGTTTTTCTAATACTCTGCATACTAGTATAAACATCCAGTCCATAGTTGTTGCAAATTTCTAGGAAGAATTTGAGCTCCGGGTGTGACTCAATCATTATATAGGTAAGTCCCAATTTAATCCCAGCGTGTCTGCATACTTCACATGAGAAAATGAATAACAATGCCGAGAGACAAAAAAGAGACAAACATGTTACATATCACTGAGTAACTAGATGCTGCACTACCCTACACCAGAGGAACAAATCAGAATATCTTGACTTTGAATGCATCAGAGAACATAGATTGAATGCATGTGTCTTTAAAGGCAGAGTGAGTATTTTCGTGCCACTGAGTTTATTGTTAATCGTCATCACTAGAGATCATTCTTTGCTTACGTTCACCACCTCAAAGTCTTTTACTTTAACGGAAATCCAACACTATCAATCAGTGTAAGTTTATGGGCTAGTGATATACTTTGATTTAGATAATCTTCAGCAACTTTTCAACCTATTTATTTTTCTTCCTACATCCCATACTGAGATAAGTAGTTGTATAATATGCGTTCATTAATGAAGCGTTTATCCTAAACCTAACTTAACTTTATACCACAATGTTACCTGAATTAAAATTTATTGTATAACAGGTTCACAGTAATCTAAATTTCTTAACAAGAATTCTGTAGACACTTACAAAAGTGAAGTCAGCAAAAGTCACATCTACGTTTACTGTTTAGTTATCAGTGGCAAGACCAGAGAGTTTTTGAGGTACAGCTTCTAAAGGCTGACTAGAGAGGGGACTGAAGGTATTTAATTACCAGTGATTTTTACTGGACCTAGAGTTTGGTATTACCATTCAGCAGATGTATGTAATTTTGAGAAATGGACTTATCAAGTGGTGAGTTACTGAACCTGAATTAAATAAAATAATTTGAATATATGATGTAAGTGCAGAATGACACTTTACCATAGGGAATGATTTAGAAAGAAGGGAAAAAGGAATGCGAGTTAATTTGAAGCTTAAATTTTCAATTAAATGGCTTTCAGTGAAATAAGACTCAGTATGACCATATCAAGACATAATATCAAACCACGAAGCCCAACAGCTACGCTAGAATTCTTCATCTCCTCCGTCCAACTACGGTCTAGTACATACGGCTTAGAATTAATATCAGCGGAGAAAATTCGTTCATCCTTCGGCAGTGTTTAAATGTAAAACATTTTCCGACCACATTTTCTGTTTTTGCTCGTTGTTTTTTCACTTCGGTCTTCGTTTTAGTTTCGTTTTTACTATATTTCCCAGTATTGTCCACCTAAATGCTTGCAATGTTCTGTAACACCATTCAGTGAAGTTAATTACAGCGAAACATCTGTTCTTAGGTGCTTCCGATCGCCTAAGTGTCTACATAACCTACAAATCCTTCATATTCATTCATTAGTTTAAAAAGTCAAAGTGTGTCACAGATGCTTGACTTTATCACAGCATTAACACTCTGCCAGACAGGTATATCCAACTAAAAGGGGGTTTATCGCAATCAAACATGGGTCATTAATTCCACTACTAACCCCGTAAAATAATATTAGTTACGCTGTGGCTTGTATTATCCCGTCGCTCAGTGGACCAAATTGATCAATCTCTATAGGCATATGGGCTCCTGCATCCTAGATTCCACTGCTAGTCACTATCCATCATTAATAATGTCAGATACAATCGTATTTGTTGAAATTTAATTCCATTGAGTAAGGTTGGAATGAATATTGCCCAAAGACAACGTAAAAATTAAAATGAACTAGTTGCTGTCATTATCATCCCGTAAGTCAAATGCTTCTCTGATAAATCATATCATGATCAAGGTGTTACTGCAGCTCCAATCATGATCCTTCCCGTAGCACAGTATACCGACCAATAATATCTCAGAGAGTTTAATTACTAATATTTCCAACACTTTTAAAGACAAAATTTTTACTATCTTGAAAAATTACCTGTTTAGTCATTATATGCTGAGGTTAAATAAAATGGATAATTTTTATTGCATTGTAATTTAAATTAATCTGTATGTCTACAAATGTACTGATTTCGATAAATGCAAAATGTTCGGTGTTAGAAATATTTCCAAAAGTTCCGTTCTTTGTCTCATAACTGGAAAATGAAACAATCATTTATGTCTTTTCGCATTCACTTATATTTTATCGTTAAAACCTTCACTTAAAACTCTTGCAAACTTTTATGTTGCTGTTTGAAATTTCATTACCGAATACTGTCATCAACTAACTCGTACAAAAATTAGTTAAATTTATACTGTAGTGTTCCCTCAGAATACTGGATGCTGTACTGCATCACTTGTCTAGCTGTCATGCGATACGCGAGACTATCTGTTGTCATTTATTCGGTTTAGACGCAAATCCAACGGAAAAAACACTGTCTGTAGGCTGTACTCGTTATCAGTAAAATAAAAACGTTTGGTTTGGTGAATGAGGCAGTTTAAACTAGGAATAGGAAAAATGGGGCCATTCTTAAAATTACACATAGCAAAGTTACTTCCTTAGATAATTAACCAGCCAACTTAACCCATTATCATGACAGTTTTTCCTGTAATAATTTAAGTAACTATTTCTTTAAATGCTCTGATGCCCAAGTGATGCATAATAATGACCAAACTGTTCTCACTTAAGTGACTGAGTCGAATGCACTGGTCACAGCAGATCTAGGACGCATACTGAATACTTATGGTGTTTCTCACGTACCAATAGTTAGACGACCTGAACTAAAACCTAAGCTAAGACGTATATAACAACTTTTTACTTCACCGTTTGAAATGGCTACCTACTTTTCAGATTTCACGTATATTATTGTGAAGTAATGTGTGTACAGAAACTAACTACTTATGGGAATCTAGTAATATATATTTGATCGATTTAACTTCACATTTCTTCATTCATTCTCATATAATTTCGATGCAAAATGCTTATTTCCATCGCAACTCAAAGGGCTAAGAAAAATACTGATGTGAATGTTAGATCTGAGAAGTGACTTCGAGACTGCCATGCTAATAAACTATGGTCAAGTTGATAAAACAATGGAAAAGCTAAACGCGTTCACCAACCTTCCTATTAGTTTATTTCTTACGATTAAAGAAGACTTCTGAGTAGCATCAAGTTGCTGCATAGTTTTAGTTGAATGTCACGTGAAAAAATAATTCTAAGTGTTTATACCCTTAGATGAACATAAAAGTAGACATGTTTTGCAAAATAATAATAATAACTGTGTGCAAGGTGAAGTGTGATCAGTGTATCTTTAAGTGTAACGTGTATAAGCAATAAATACTGTCACGGTGTATAGTTATTTCTTAAAATGAACTTTACCTCAAATGACTTAAGTGAATATGAGAGAGTTTGGATTATAGATAATCTTAAGCGGCTGTGTGACCTTCATAAAAAATTTAATATCATCATTTACAGAATTTAAAATATTTCTTATCGTGTGTACATATAATTCTTTGAATAACTAATTTATCTGCTTCATTGGAATAATCAGTGAGGTCATTTCACCTTCAGAAATAACTTCAAACGGTTCAGTGTCTGGAAAAAACAATATATGAACTGACCGCATGATTTCTGACCAAAGTGAAGATATCCATACATGCAGACATACATATTACTATGGCCTCTGGATAAATTAAGAAAATCTGCGTATTTGTAAAACATTTATGCCATTAAGCATATCATTACAGTAATCTAAACACCAGACGGCCTTTCCATTAGGTTGGATTTGAGTTCATCATCTCTGTATCTGTATGGATTCATCACAAAAAGCCAAACTTGATGAGCTATCTAAGTATGGTGTTTTTAGTCTAAAACATTCTAGAAGGACGCGGTTTAATTCGATGAGAAAGGAAATATTCCAGGCACTTGATGTAAACTTAAGATAAAATCACTTTTACAAGCATAAAAGATATGCACTACATTCGACTAACTGACATGAGCAATCTTAATATGCCAATCAGCAGTGATATGAATATTTTAGTTTACAAGAGAAACCAAGGTAGAATTCCTCACTTGTGTTTCAGTTAATTTTTCAACGCTTACTTTGGACTGTGAAGGTTGCAAACATATGAACTAACAAAAATTAGCTTTTCACAAGATTCGTAGCTGACCTACTATTCCCCAACTAAATATGCCATAAAATTGTAATAAATGATAATACTTCAAACCGACATTTCGTACACTACGGTTATCCATCAATCAACAAATACAGCGTAATCCATGTTACTTTGCTTAGTGGTAAACGTTGACTGTATGCTGCCGGGCAAATTGTTGATGAAACAGAGGTGAAAGTATCTTGACATGTACGGTTTGCGTTTAGAAACAAGGTAGTGCAATAATATGCAAAACAAATAAACAAGGAGACATCATTTCAATCATGTACTTCTCACTCACCCATGTCTTTTTGTTCTCAGTTATCGGTAAGGTAGATGGCAGTGATTTTTTTCAACAAAAGTTTTATAGTACAAGATATGTGAGTTTGTTTCTACTAGTTACTTCAAATTTTCATGCTTATACGCTTTAACAGTTTTGAGTA